TAATCGACTTGTGCAGGAAATAATTTTTACATATTAATTAAATAGCAAAGGAAGGTTTATTAGCGGCTAGGCTAAGACTACAGATTGACCTACTGTAGAGTACAAGAAGTTGCGTAGCAACGATGCAAAACCAATGTCGACGTAATCGATTGAATACGACATCTGTTTTACACATTTTTGCATCACAAATTCACAACCTTTAGCTCTAATGTTGGCTTTGTCTGTTCTTGTCAAGGTTAATCGACTTGTGCAGGAAATAATTTTTACATATTGATTAAATAGCAAAGGAAGGTTTATTAGCGGCTAGGCTAAGACTACAGATTGACCTACTGTAGAGTACAAAAAGTTGCGTAGCAACGATGCAAAACCAATGTCGACGTAATCGATTGAATACGACATCTGTTTTACACATTTTTGCATCACAAATTCACAACCTTTAGCTCTAATGTTGGCTTCGTCTGTTCTTGTCAAGGTTAATCCACTTGTGCAGGCAATAATGAATTAATTTATTAATCAGCTGCAATTTGATTGACAAGGGGAGTTGTTCAAGGACAGAAATTAGTCCACTATCCTTTACGAGCTATCTCTCGCATTTCGTTGACACAGTGATGGCTAGTAGGCTATCCTACAGCCTACCATCCGCTGATGGTAGGCTGTAGTAGATGGATAAGCCAGTCATAAACTAACTCATCATCGTCTATTAGGAAAAGAGAAATTTTCTACTCTACAGTCCACTTTAGTGCTGCCATGAGATTAACATACTGTGGTCCAAAAATGAGTAGAAATCGGTATCCATAGGAAGGAATCCCGATCATGGACTACTTCAAGAAAGCCATAGTATATCGTCGTTAGATCAACAGTAATATTTGACTCCGACAGTTTTGATAGACTAAATTGAAGTCAAGATTGCAATAAAGCAGTAGGCAATGTGCCTTTCCGATCTAGCTCTTACTGTTACTGATGCTTGCTCTAGAACTACAGTAGGTAGAAAAGTGACTAGTAAATAGAGCTTAAGACAACCCAATTTCATTGACTTTCCATTATACTGATGGAATGGCGACAAATTGATACTCTCATCGTATCAACGGTATGAAAATACCATCAAAGTCCATTAAAATTGTAGGAGTCGGATATTACTGTTGATCCCCATCGTTTCTTCATCAACATGGCTTTACCGTTTCCGTTTACCTCTGAAAAAATGACAGAAAGGGGAAATAGCGAATAGTATAGTGTTCATACTGTCAAGGGAAATCAAGGAGAAGCCATTTCATAGCCGTATACTGTAAAATCATGGCCATCTGTCCATTGCAGTAGTATTGGATACCTTGTTGGCATGCCTGGCCGATCGCTCTCTTCATCTTACGT